GTGGAAAAGCATAGTATGGAAACTGCTGAAGGAGTTTCAACAAGTGTACAATTATATTTGGAGACGATACAAAGTTACAAATTGGAATTTGATTCTGGAAACATAACTGCTGGTGAATTGAGAAGAAGAGTATGCAAGGAAATTAGGAAATTGAGAATGATTGTATTGAAACAACAAAGAGCTACAAAAGTTGCTAAAACTAAAACTGGGGATAGTATGAATCACAAAATGTCTGGATCGAAGAGAAAAAGAGGTAATTCATAAATCATTACATAAATCAATTATTGTTTTCCTATCCCTTTTGTAATAGTATGACAATTGTATTATTGTTATTTTCAATTTCAGGAAACGTATCGAATAATCAAACAGAACCTATGTTGGAATCAAAAGTAGGTTCGCAAATTTGTTAGGCCCTTATGAAAATAATGATCACATATACAAGGAAAATAGAAAATACAGAATGTCTTTATTAAAAAGAAAGAGAGGTCAAAAAAATCATGTTGTTATATAATCATGTCTCTTCATTTTCTTGAGAAATCCAACTGACTGTATATAAAATTTTGCAAGTGTTGGTCATTATGTAAGAAAAAAATCTAAATCAACGCTTACTCCTTCAGAAATATATGTGATAGTAAGTTATAAACTTCAGACATATATTTACATAACAAATTATTACAGTTTGTTCATTTGTGTAACAATGTCATTATCTTTGATATTTGTTTAAAATTAGTGTTATTTCTGTTGTCAATGGATTTGGAACCGTTGAACTTTGGTGTACCATCTTACAATTGCAAGCATTACAGAGCAATCATGTGGTATGAAGAAAGGAATATTAAGAGTAGAAAGATAACTTCTCCTATATTTTTGTTATGCTTTATGGATGGAAAAATTGAGTTACCATTGTTGAAAGAACCACCTGAACTGTTGAAATGATTATTGGATGTAAGCAGTGGTTATAAAGGGAAAACATTTAGAAACAAGATAAGAATATACAACTCGATATTCTCATTTACATCAATGGGGGGGGGGGGGGGGGGGGGGGGGGGGGGGGGGGGGGCGCATTGATACTAATATCAATAGAAATACTGGTCCATATATTTTTAGACTTTGTGGGCACAATTATCACCGTATAGGGACATTGCTTCCACCTATTGGAAAGAAACCTACTTTTGCATTTACATTTATGATGCACAATGTGAAACCAGTCACAGATTGAATTGTATGGGAAGGAAAACAACTTACAATAGTGTTGTCATGAAATTCATTGAGGAATTGCAATTGATGCTTGATAGGAACAATGAGTTGGTTAAAAGTTTTCGGTTTGCCAAGGACTATATTGAATCAAATAATATTCTTGAACTCCACTTGCAATTTATAATTCATAGAGAAAAAGATGGAAGACAATATAATTTGCCAACTGCATCTGAAATTGCAGGAATAATTGTTGGTGATATTGGACTATCAGATGTTAAAAAGGACGTTATTGTTTATCATTCAAAGAATGGTTTACAGAGAATTACTAACTTACATCCCAATTTTATAGCATTAAGTTATCCAATTTTGTTTCCACATGGAGAGGACGGATATAGGATCGACATTAAGCATATAGAATCAGGTGACAAAGAAACTTCTACAAGGCATAGACTAACTATGAGACAATTTTATGCCTTTCAATTGCAGTATATATTAAATAAAGGGCACACTTTGATGAAATCTGGCAGGTTATTGCAACAATATATTGTAGATGCATATATGGCTATTGAAGAGGAAAGGTTTTGTTGGATAAGAAATAATCAAAAAAAATTAAGAAGTGATTTGTACAGTGGATTGATGGATGCTACTTCAAAAGGTGATGTTAATGCAGAGAATATAGGAAAGTCTACTCCTCTCAAACTAGCAGCCCATGATATCGTGTTCAGAATTATCAAGATGCTATGGCAATTTGCAGATATCATGGATATCCTGATATTTTTTTTAACATTCACATGTGATCCAAAGTGGTCGATAATACAATATATACAGAATGCTATTGGTCAATGTGATGAAAAAGGGAGAGTAACTGCAATTTGCAGAGTGTTCGAGATGAAATTGCTTGCGCTTATGAAAGAAATAAAGAATGATAAATATTTTGGTGAAACTCTGGCAAGTAAGTACTGTTAAGAATAATATGTACATTTTATTTTAAACTATTTGTTCATTTGTGATTTATAATATGAAATTACAATATATCAACAATTACTAACAATATTGTACTATATTTCCCAGTTATTTATACTATTGAGTTCCAGAAAAGAGGTCTCCCTCATGCACATGTATTGATTTTCCTCTACCATGAATATAAGAATCTGATGAGAATCCAAGCCCATTGTGTTCTTTAAATGTGCAAGAATGTTCATGAAGATTCAAGAAGCCTAAGCCTTACAAAGAGGACAACATTCGGTCCAAGCACTCAAGGAAGCTCACAAACTTGTCCAAGATGTGTTAAGGGTCCAAGACATGGCACAAGCCCTTTTTTGTAGCCCAAGCCGTGGAGATCAAGTGGAGAGGAGCTTAATTGGTCCAAGCCCAATTTGTGGATGCTATTTGGTTCAATTGGTGAAGGAAAATCAAGAAAATTGCAATTAGGGACATAGATCCTTAATTTAAGGAGTGGTTGTCCTTTGCATTAAATGAGTATGGTTTGTATTTTTGTAATTGCATGGTGGAGAATTATCCCTTAATATTTTGTGTAAGATTTTGTAATATTTATGTAATATTTGTTAGGGCAACTCTCATGTTTTATAAAGCCTATTTAAAGGCCACTCTTTCATAATATGAATTAGACAATGAATATTGCATGAATAGTGTTTTCCTTGGAGAATTGTTTTTCTCTTTGAATTCCTTTACCCAAGTTTCAGCCAAGCTTGGTGATGGATTGAATTCTCAAGCTGGTGGAGTTTCTTTAGGCTTGAATGATCCTTGGCCATCTTTCTTGTAAGTTATTTCCATTTGGTTACCATTCATCTCAATTTCGGGTTTGGCTTGTTTTGTTTGTGATTCAATTTGTGTTGATTGAGAATAGATAAAACTATTGTTCTAAAGTTGTCATAAGGGTTGTGTGTGCTTGTGGAGTGTTGGCCGGATTTGTGCTAGGGTGTTGCAAGTGAATCCTAGCTTAGGTTGAGTTGAAATTTGTTGAAATAAGGTGATATATGAATTGAGGAATGAATTCATATCAGAATCCTTCGCCGTTGAAGATTGACATGATGATATCTATTGAATAACCAGATAAAGAAAACAATCCTCTTGCTTATGTAGCTATTGGGAACTACAATATCCATGGTCCATGTGGAAATTTAAATACAAATTCACCCTACATAGAGAAAAAGAAATGCAAAAAACATTTTCCGAATAAATTTGTGAATGCAATGACTGTAGATGATGAAGGGTACCTAGTATATAGAAGGTGAGATACTGGAGCATTTATTAAGAAAAAAAGTGTCAAAATCGACAACCGCTTTGTTGTTCCCTATAATAGAAACCTGACAGTCAAGTACGATGGTCACATAAATGTTGAGATCTGTAACTAGCATAGATCAATCAAGTATCTATCCAAGTATGTCAACAAAGGACCCGACAGAATTACAGTTTCTATGGAGGTTACAAAAAATACCCAAGGGAATTCTAGATGCACGAATATTACAGAGGAGGATGAAATTAAAGCTTATGTTGATTGCAGGTATGTATATAGAAGTATAAAATATAATGTTATCATAATATTTGTCATGATTTGTTGTGAATATAACATTGAAAAATCCAATTACTACGTCTACAGATATATCTCTGCCATGGAAGCTGGCTAGAGGAGATATCAATTTGATATGTACTATAGAGAACCAGATGTTGAAAGGCTTCCTTTCCACTTGACAGATGTCTTCGATCCATATCAGAATTTAGTAAAATATTTGGAGAGCAACGTTGTTACTCAAACAAAATTAACAAAGTGGATGAAATGTAATCAAGAATATGAAGAGGAAAGATCATTGACTTATTCTGAGTTCCCAACACAATGGGTTTGGAATGAAAAAGAAAGGAGATGGAGTCAACAGGAAGGTGAAAGATGTATTGGAAAAATTTACTTTGCATTTCCAGGTAGCAGTGAGAAATATTATTTGCAGATGTTGCTAAATTTGGTTAGAAGAGCAACATCATTTGAGAATATTAGAATTGTTAATGGAAGAATACATCCTACATTCAAAGATGCATGTTATGCATTAGGCTTGCTGGATGATGACAGAGAATGGAATGATTGTCTGGCTAAAGCATCAATATGGGCTACTGGAACATAGTTATGACAGCTATTTGTAACAATTCTTTTATTTAATGAAGTCATAAACCCAACAGAATTATGACGAGCAAATGTAGATCAACTATCTGAAGACATCGCATATAATCTCAGGAAAAAAACAAGAATGAGAATGACAAGATACAGTAGGGAACAGTTACACAATCATGCATTGACTGAGATTGAAGACTTCATTAAGAAAAAAGGGAAAACAATGGTTGATTTTCATGGACTGCCAATTCCAAATCGCCCTGAATTTGAAAATACGCAGAATAAGTTGATTACTGAGGAGTTGAATTACGATATTGACAGCAACAAAATCCTACACAATGATTTATACAGTGGTCTAAACAATGGACAAAGAGGCATTTACAATTCAATCATTGATTCAGTTTATAATGAAAGAGGAATGCCATTTTTGTTTACGGGCATATTAGAATAGGCAAAACATTCGTATGGTCAATAATAATAGCAAAATTGTTGTCTAAAGGTAAAATTGTTCTCGCTGTTGCTATGTCAAGAATTGTTGCCTTACTATTACTAGGAGGAAGAATAGCCCAATCATGTTTCAGCATACCTTTAGATATAACTAAAGAGAGTACATGTGATTAAAAAAAGGACGCAATTGGCAAAATTGATTTTGAAAGCATCTTTGATAATTTGGGGTGAAGCACTGATGACAAATAGGTATTGCTTTGAAGCACTTAATAGATCTTTGAGGGACATTTTGTCTGATGAAGATCTGTCAAATGCTGATAGAATATTTGGAGGCATAACTGTTGCACTAGGTGAAGACTTCAAACATATTTTACCAGTTATACCAAAGGGGAAAAAATATGATGTGATGCAAGCATGTTTATCTTCATTGAAGCTAACATAAAATATGAGATTGAAAAAGAATTTCCAAAGCAATGAAGAATTGGATGAGTTGACTACTTTTGACAGATGGTTTCTATAAATTGGTGAAGGAACAGGAGTAATAGAAGATGAAAGTTTTATAGAAATTCCTGAAGATTTGAAACTTTCTCAACATAGCAATCCAAAAGAAAGAATTGTGAATGTTGCTCTATCGAATCTATCTGCTGAGATAGGCAATGTTGATTATATAAAAGAGAGGGCAATATTGATAGCCAGAAATGATACAGCACATGAATTGAATGACTACATTATTCAAAAATTGCAATCAGAAACAAAGACCTATCACAGTTCAAACAGCACTTGCAAAGCAGGAGGGACTTCAACTGATGATGATATTCTACATCCAATAGAGTTCTTTAACTCTTTGATGTGCTCTAGTATGCCAAAACATGAATTGCAATTAAAAACTAGAGTTCCAATTATGTTGCTACGAAATCTGAATCAATTAGATGCTCAATGGGACTAGATTGATTGTAACTCATCTAGGGAAGTGGTGCACAAAGCAACAATTATTACAAGGTCAAACATTGGTGATAATGTTATGATTCTTAGAATAACAAAATGTCCAATGTAGATATGAAATGGCCCTTCAGACTGAAGAGAAGGCAATTACCAATTGCAATTAGCTTTTGCATGACTCTAAACAAAAGCCAGGGTCAATCACTTAAAACGGTGGGATTATACATAAAACATCAAGTATTTGTTAGAGTAGATGCCCTAGAGCCAATCAATTATTGTAGAATTGACCATTTGTAATAATGTTCATTAATCAATAAAAGGCATTTTATTCTATATCGCGTAAATCATTATTATTGCAATATGTATTGATATATATCCTTAGAATGGTAGAACCGTGACGAGGGTATCAAGTGTTTCAAATCTTGATAGTGAGAACCCTATGAGCACATATGGTGGCCATTCTAGAAACGTCCGTAGCCCCAGTATTATTCTGAACTAAGGGCACAGATAATACGGTAAGGCTATCATAGTGTTGAACGACCCTGTCGAAAGGCAGTGACTGATCTCACTTGTCAAGGTTGTTTGGTGACAACCTGGTGCAACACATGGGTGCTTGTTGTAGGCGGATATACCGCAGCAAGTTCACTAGACTGACCCACCAGAGGATTCCATATGGATGGTAACCCCAGTGTCTATGGAACAAATCCTCTAACGAATGGTGGTGTATGTGATCCTTAGACTTGAGATCACCGGAGCACCTTGTGCACTGATTGGTGTAGTTTGACACTGGCCTAACGCAGTTCTTTTCAGAGCTATCAATACGGTAGTGATTGGCTGCATCAAGGATTGTATCAAGACTATGGTGGATAGATAGAGGATTCATCATTCTCGGGTACGGGAAAAGTTATCTCATGGCGCAATTCAGTATATGGCAATACACTAAAACTGTGGCCACAGTGGGATTGAGTTGTTGCTCTATCCAAATTATAATACAGGTCATTGGTCCAGAAACTGAATACATAATATCGAGAGTAACTGAAGGTTGACACTATTTCTATGCCTTTGTCTCGTCGAGATAACGTATGATGAAATGATCAAATTGTACAGTAACCATATCGTTGACAGGTAGCTACTTTGCTGAATCCGAATCTATCGGGTGGCCATGATGCCTTGCTAGGGGTCAATCTTGGTCTGTGTATTAGTGAGACGATTAATTGGTGTTAATCGCAATACTATACACTACCGGTATAATGAGGAGCCTATGGGTCACACACATAGAAGATAATTTAAGACTAAAGAAGAAAGAAGGACGTTTTCGTCTTTTTAGGTGAAAGGGTATTTTGGTAATTTCACAGTGTAATTAAATTTGCTGAGGTCGTAGCCTTTATTTAATTTGTTAGAAAAAATTAAATAAGTGAGATTACATTTAAATATGTGTTCGCATATATTTAAATAAATTATCATTATTGTTAAATGTTAATATATATATATTAAATATATATTAATTGATTTTAATTGAAGATAATGATGAAATAAAATAAATATCTAATTGGGAGTGTTTGGTAACATGGGGTGTTTGGGTTGGAGCCCAAACCTATTCCCTATGGGAATAGAGCAATTGAAATTTGACTATAAAATAAAAGGTTTTAGTTGGAAAATTAGAGAGAGGCTTTTCATTCATTCATTCATTCATTGAAAAAGAGAGTACACAGCCCCAAAACACTCTCACTCTCACGCCAGTTTTGCTTTTGCAAAGAATCAAAGTTTTCTTTGATTTTCTTCTTTGTTTTTAAGGCTAAGGAGGATCTAGCAAATCCCTCCTTAGTTCTTTGCGATTGTCTTCGTGTGGACTATGTCGGTTTGATCCTACACTTGGGTCGGTAGCAAAACACGTTCAGAGACAAAGTTGGAGGAGCCTCCAAATGTGCGTATGGTTTTCTAAACTCATGATTAATATTTCTGCAAATTCTTATTAAGATAAAACTGTAAAATTATACCCTTGATCTTGGCTCTTTGGGAACGATCCTTGTGTTATGTTTTTTTTGTTTTCCGCTGCGTACATGGACCGTTTCCTAATAGTATTTACCCATGGACAATTATATGTTGCCCTATCAACAGTAACTTCAAGAAAAGGTATCAAGATCTCATTAGGCCAACAGCAAGATGTGTAAGGAATCGATATACCCAACGCAGCGGAAATATAAAAATTAAAGGACAAATCGATTCCCTTAATGCCCAAAATCAGAGTACAGATTATATAGTTTATATGTTAAATCAAAAATTCTACAATAATATGAATGATCAAAGTAAAGATTAGAGTTTATACGCTCGTTTGGAGGATTCGCTACCGATTTAAAATAAAATTGAACCAACGGTAATCCACACAAAGATAACCCGAAGAGCTAAATAGGGATTTGCTACATCCTCTTTAGCTTCAATAACCAAATTGAATCAAAGAAAACTTTGATTCAATAAACCAAGGGCGGAGTGAGAGTAGAGAGAAAATGGGAGAGAAGGCTGCCTCCTTTCAATGATTGAATAATCACACAAATGAAAAATTCATTTTTTTCTCTCAATACACATGCACTTATATAGTGCATGTGTAAAACCCTATTCCTATGAAGAATAGGCTTGGGCTTCAGCCCAAACTAGCGCTTTTATCCAAACACTCCCAATTTGTATTTTATTTTAATTATTATTATTCTAATTAAAATCAATTAATATATTTATAAAATATATTAATATTTAATAATAATAATAATAATTCATCTAAATATATGGGTACATATATTTAAATATAATCTCACTTATTTAATTTTAACATCAAATTAAATATCGAAAATTTAACCGCACTATGAGATTACCAAAATACCATTTTGTCCTAAAAGACAAAAACACCCCTTGTACAAACTGATTCTTAAATTATCTTCTATGTGTGTAACCCGTAGGCTTCTCATCATACTGGTAGTGAGTAGTATCGCGATTAACATCAATTAATCGTCTCACTATACACAAACTAAGATTGGCCCCTAGCAAGGCATCATGGCCACCTGATAGATTCGGATTCAGCGAAATTGCTACCTGTCAACGATATGGTTACCGTGCAATCAAATCCTTTCATCATCTGTTATCTCATTGAGACTAAGGTACAGAAATAGTGTCAACCTCAGTTACTCTTGATATGTTTGTATTCAGTTACTGGACCAATGACCAGAATAATAAATTAGATTGAGCAACAACTCAATCCCACTGTGGTCACAGTTTTAGTGTCATTGCCATTTACTAAATTGTGCCGTGAGATAACTTCTCCTGTACCTAGGAATGATGAATCCTCTGTTGATCCACCATAGTCTTGATACACTCCTCGATGCAGCCAATCACTACCATATTGACAGCTTTGAATAGAACTGCGTTGGGCTAGTGTCAAACTACACCAATCGATGCACAGGGCACTCGGTGGTCTCAGGTCTAAGGATCACATGCACTTCCATTCATTAGAGGATTTGTTCCATAGACACTGGGGTTACCATCTATATGGAATCCTCTAGTTGATCAATTCAGTAAACTTGCCTACAACAAGCACCTATGTGCTGCACCAGGTTGTCAGCAAACAACCTTGACAAGTGAGATCAGTCACTACCTTTCGACAAGGTCGTTCAACACTATGATAGCCTTACCATATTATTTGTGCCCTTGGTCAAAATAATACTAAGGCTATTGACGTTTCTATAATGGCTACCATATGTGCTCATAGGGTTCTCACTATCAAAATTTGAAACACTTGATACCCTCGTCACGATTCTACCATTCTAAGGACATATATCAATACATATAGATATGATTTACATGATATAGAATAAATTGCCTTTTATTGATCAATGAACATTATTGCAAAGAGTCAATTCTATAATAATTGATTGGCTCTAGGGCACCTACTCTAACAATCTCTCACTTGTACTATAGCCAATCATTCATGTATTTAATACCAAATGACCTCAAGTGTTGCTCATGCTTCTGCTTCGACAAAGGTTTTGTTAGTGGATCGGCAAGATTGTCATTAGTATGCACTTTACTGATCTGCACATCTTTCTTCTCAACCATTTCTCTGATAAGATGAAATCATCCGAGTATATGTCTAGACTTTTGGTGAGACTGTGGCTCCTTAGCTTGAGCTATTGCTCTATTGTTTTCACAATAGACATATATTAGATCAACAATCGTGGAGACCACACCAAGTTCGGTGATAAACTTCTTAATCTAGACTGGCTCCTTGGCCACATCAGATAATGCAATATACTCAGCCTCTGTTGTAGAATCTACTACATTGCTTTGCTTAGAGCTCTTCTAGCTCACTGCGCCCCCATTGAGACAAAATACAAACCCAGATTGCAAATGATAATCATCTTTGTTTGTTTGGAAACTAGCATCACTACTTCCTCTTACAGTGAGCTCATCTTCCCCTCCATAAACCAAGAACATATCTTTAGTCCTCTTCAGGCAGTTAAGAATGTTCTTGACAGCCATCCAGTGATACTCACCTGGATCCGATTGATATCTACTACAAGTGCTTAATGCACATGAGACATCAATTCAAGTACATAGCATGGCATACATGATAGATCCAACTGCCGATGCATATGGGATCATATTCATCCTATCTCTCTCATTTGGTGTTTTAGGACACATATCCTTAGAGAGATAGACACCATGTGACATTGGAAGAAACCCCTTCTTGGATTCTTCCATACTAAATCTCTTCAGTACTTTGTCAATATATTTGCTCTGACTTAGGCCAAGCAACCTATGCGATCTATCACGATAGATCTTTATTCCGAGGATGTAGGCTACTTCTCCTAAGTCCTTCATGGAGAAGCACTTGGATAACCAAGTCTTTACCGATTACAAGTTTGGTATATCATTCCCGATTAGAAGTATGTCATCGACATACAACACTAGGAATGCCACTGTGCTCCCACTCACCTTCTTGTAAACACAAGGCTCATCTTC